TTAAGATCCCCTTACTGGTCATCTTTATAAAATAAATAGACAGATTAGATAGATAGATAGATAGATAGATAGATAGATAGATAGATAGACAGACAGATAGATAAAATTTGGTCATTGCAAAATGTTATATAAATGGGACCGGCCTGTGGCTCACTTGGGAGAGTGTGGTGCTGATAACACCAAGGCCACGGGTTCGGATCCCATGTAGGGATGGCCGGTTAGCTCACTGGGTGAGCGTGGTGCTGACAACACCACGTCAAGGGTTAAGATCCCCTTACAGGTCATCTTTATTAAAAAAAAAAAATGTTATATAAATGGGATAATACATATGTAACCTTTTGAAATTGACTTTCTTCATTCACCTTATTTTCCTGAAGATTCATTCCAGTTATTGGCTGTATAATACTTTGTTCCTATTTATGGCCGAGTAGTAGCCCATGGTACAGGTGTACTGCAGCTTGTGTAGCTGCTCACCTGTTGAAAGACATCTGGGATAGTTCCAGTTCGGGGCTATTACAAATAAAGCTGATATAAACATTCATGCACAGGTTTTTGTGTGAGCATAAGTTTTAATTTCTCTGGGATAAATGCCCAGGAGTGTATTCTGTGGTATGGATGTACCACATTTTGGTTAATCATTCGTTTGTTGAAGGAATTCTGGATTGTTTCCAGTTTGGGCTTTTATAAATAAATCTGCTATAAAAATTTGTGTACACATTTTTATGTGAACATAAATCATCATTTCTCGGGGCCGGCCTGTGGCTCACTCAGGAGAGTGTGGTGCTGATAACACCAAGGCCACAGGTTCGGATCCCATATAGGGATGGCCGGTTGGCTCACTGGGTGAGCGTGGTGCCGAAAACACCAAGTCAAGGGTTAAGATCCCCTTACCGGTCATCTTTAAAAAAAAAAAAAAATCATCATTTCTCTCAGAAAAGTGCCCAGGAGCGCGATTGCTGGGCCATATGATAGTTGCATGTTTAGCTTTTTAAGAAATTTGCAAACTGTTTTCCAGAGTCAATGGAAACTGTTTTCATAGTGTACCATTTTACATTCCCAACACAGCAACATATGAGTGATCTAGTTTTTCCATGTTCTTACCAACAATTTGGTGTTGTCACTATTTTTTTATTTTAGCCTTTCTGACAGGTGTGTAGCAAAATCTTGTTATGATTTTAATTTGCATTTCCCTAATAGCTAGTTAGGTTGAACATCTTTTCATATGGTTATTTGCCATCTGTACATCCTCTTTGGTGAAATGCCTGTTCATGTCTTTTCCTCATTTTGTAATTGGATTATTTGCTTTTTTACTGTTGAGTTTTGAGATACTAATCCCTTGTTGACTATATGGCTGGCAAATATTTTCTCCCAGTCTTATTTTCATCCTCTAAGTAGGTACTTTTTTTTTTTTTTTTAAAGATGACCGGTAAAGGGATCTTAACCCTTGACTTGGTGGTGTCAGCACCATGCTCTCCCAGGTGGGCCACGGGCCAGCCCCTCTCTAAGTAGGTTCTTTTACAGTAAATTTTAAATTTTGATGAAGTCCAGCTTATCCATTTTTCCTTGTGTGGTGCTTTTGGTGTTTAGTCTAAGAACGCTTTGCCAGGCCCAAGATCCTGAAGATTTTCTCTTTTTTTTTTCCCTAACAGTTTTACAGTTTTATGTTTTACATTTAAGACCACAATCCATTTTGAGTTAATTTTTGTATAAGGTGTGAAGTTAGGTTAAGTTTTTTATTTTTCACCTATGAGTGTATAATTTCTATAGCACCATTTATTGAAAAGGCTCTTCTTCCTCCATTGAATTACTTTTGCACCCTTGTAAAAATCAGATGGGGTGGGTCTGTTTCTGGGTCATTTCTCTCAGAAAAGTGCCCAGGAGCGCGATTGCTGGGCCATATGATAGTTGCATGTTTAGCTTTTTAAGAAATTTGCAAACTGTTTTCCAGAGTCAATGGAAACTGTTTTCATAGTGTACCATTTTACATTCCCAACACAGCAACATATGAGTGATCTAGTTTTTCCATGTTCTTACCAACAATTTGGTGTTGTCACTATTTTTTTATTTTAGCCTTTCTGACAGGTGTGTAGCAAAATCTTGTTATGATTTTAATTTGCATTTCCCTAATAGCTAGTTAGGTTGAACATCTTTTCATATGGTTATTTGCCATCTGTACATCCTCTTTGGTGAAATGCCTGTTCATGATTTTTACCCATTTTTAGTTGGATTGTTTGTCTTTACCACTGAGTTTTAAGAGACTTTTATATTTCTAGATACTAGTCCTTTGCCAGATATGTGACTTGCAAATATTTTCTCTGAGTTTGTGTCTTCTTTTCATACTCCTAACAGGGTCTTTCACAGAGCAAAAGTCTTTAATTTTGATGAGGTCCAGTTTATCAATTTTTCCCTTTATGGATCATGCTTTCAGTGTCAAGTCTAAGAAATCTTTGTCTAGCCCTAGATCCTAAAGATTTTCTCCTATTTTTTTCTAAAAGTTTTACAGTTTTACATTTACATTTAAGGCTGTGATCTGTTTTGAGTGAATTAGGCTTCATGAAATTTCACCTTACCCAGGCAGGGTTGAATGTTTTTAGCAACAGATCCAGATTTGTTGGGATGCCCATGCAGATTTCTGGACCTCTTCTCATGCGACTTCCTGCTCTCTGATATCTGCCCAGGACCTCTGCTCTTAACCATTGCACTATACTGCCTCACAGTTAGAGGCTGTGCAGGGTATTGAGCAATGGTTAATCAACTACACTTACTGAGTTCCTAACTGTAGGAAAGGCCCCACAAACGATGCAAAGAGGAAGACATGCCAGCCTCTACCTCAGTCATCCCCACATGAAACTAATGTAGCTATTGAGAAACGTGTACAAACCTCAGAGGCCAGGGATGGTGATGGTACCTTGAGCAATACGATTGCACAGTGACAAGCCATGATGCTGCTGTCTCCTCTCCAGAGACAACCATTCATCTCTCCTTCCACCCCTACCTCTCCAGTTCCTCAAGCCTCCCCATCAAGGAGGAGCCTCCTCCCCAACATAGGCTCTGGGAAACACTTTACTTACTATTATTGGTTTATTATAAAGGATACAACTAAGGATCAGGGAAATGGAATTAGTACATAGGGCAATGTATTGGGGGCTGGTGCATGGAGCTTCCATACCCTCTGCACATGTGCCACCTCCCAGTATCTCAGTTTGTTAACCAAACTGGAAGCTCCCTGAAACCCATAGTTTAGGGTGTTCATGGAGGTCATGGAGGTTCCATTAAGTAGGTATAATGGATTAAATCACTGGCCATTTGTGATTGAGCACCCCTCTCCCCTCCCCTGAAAGTTCCAACTCTAATCATAATCATACAGTCAGTTCCTCTGGGTCACCTCCTCCCCTCCCCATCTTCCTAGAGTCACCCTATTGGATAAACTCAGATACGGTTGAAAGGGGAACACTGTGGATAATAAAAGATTCCTCTCACCTTCCTGTCACTCAGAAAGTTACAAGGGTTTTAGGAGCCCTGTGCCAGGACCCAGGGGCAGAGACCAAATGCTAATTTCTTATTATATTACACTCCCCTGATTTTCTGTGTTCTGAGGTCTCAGACTTTGGAGTTGAAAACCACATGACAATTCAGGCTTTAAATCTTCCTGGCAGGAAAGGGAGGCTCCAGGATATGAGGCTCGCATGAGTACGCGGGAGGAAGTGAGAGAGCACGGGAGCTGGCAAAGAGAAGAAATTGGGAGCTGGAAAGGTCTTGCCCAACATTAATCCAGAAGTAACATACAAGAGCTAAAACCCTCAAGTGGGACCTGGTCCATCGATGTGTTTTGCTTGGATTACACAGCATTTTCAACTTGTTTTTGAGCCTAATATTTAAAAAAACATAAATTGCATAAAATTCCAAATTTTTCAGCATCCTTGAAAAATCAGAAGATATGATGACAATGTGCCCACATTCCCACGTGACAACAGTTGGCTGGAACTCTGTAGGTATTGTCCTCTTCAGACAGAGCATATGACCTGTGTTTTGCTATAGTCCCTACCACTTCCTATTACACACACACACACACACACACACACACACACACACATCCCCAACTCTGAGGTTCAGCATCTTTTATCATTCAACTCTGAGCTGGCACCGTTCCCATGACCTTGGTGTCGTAAGACTGTGCTCTAACCAATGGGCTAACCGGCCAGCCCTGGCATGTTCTTCTTCCTCTAACCCTGTCTCATAGTTTATCATAGCTGCCTGGCCTCCTTGGGCACCTAAACTTTTGGCCTCTTAGCTAGTCTGAGACCTTTGTTTAACAGAAAGAGCAAGTCCCGGGGATATGATCTGGTGGCAACCTCAAGTGAATCAGTGGCCGAACCAGGACCAGCATCCCAGTGACCTTATATTTTGAGGACATTCTTGGCCTGAATCTTTTTTTTTTTTTTTTTAAAGATGACCGGTAAGGGGATCTCAACCCTTGGCTTGGTGTTGTCAGCACCACGCTCAGCCAGTGAGCAAACCGGCCATCCCTATATGGGATCCGAACCCGTGGCCTTGGTGTTATCAGCACCGCACTCTACCGAGTGAGCCACGGGCCGGCCCTTTTTTTTTTTTTTTTTTAGGTTGTCAAACCATCCTTTACAGAAATATCTTCCTTTGTACTTCTCAGCCAGCTGGCACTCCACTGCTCCACTGTTGACATTTTCTACAATGTCACGAGGGTGGCAGCCATCAGCCTTGCAGCTTACCGCCTGGGCAGTCTCCAGGATCTCTTTAATGGTTCCAGAGAGTTATCTGGCTAAAGATCTGTGCCACTTCTGTTAGGCAATGTTGACAATCTCATCAAAAGTGATGTTTCCACTTTAACGTATTTTAAATACGTACTTTAAACGTATTTAACGTTTTTCTGTTTCTGTCTCTTCAGGGCATTCCAAGGCAGAGACAGAAGGTACAATCTCAGTCTGGGCCTGTCTGTTCTGAAAGGCCAGTTTCACCGTAATCAGACCCTTCCAGTCACCGGTGGCCTTGGCGATATCATCACCAACCTTTTTTGGAGACAACTTTGATCTCATCGGGGTTGAACTTCCGGGCACGGTGGAGGTGGCTGGTGGGAGGAACCTGGATTTTGGATAACTAGGAAAGCTGCACCTTGGCCTCCTCCAAGCTGAAAGCTGAAAGCCTGAATCTTTGATTCATGTCCTTGCAGCAGTGCCTGGAAGGTCTTTCCTTTGAGACTCTCAAAGGGAAATTGAGGCCTCGGGAGCTATGGAGACTCCCTACCTCCCGTTAGCCAACCAGTGGCCGTGGGACACCAGATTAAAGAGGAGAAAAGGCCTGTGGGTATGTGGTAGAAAGCGGGATGCAGTCATGAGATCAGGACATGAATGCCCAAGTGGCAGGAAGTGCCCCAAATCAGAGCTAACTTAGCAGGCACAGAACATGTGGTGCCTGGAACAGGGCCAGAGGTGTTGTGGGGCACAGGGCAGGCAGGGAGGGGAACAAAGACAGGGCCAAGGTCCACACTTTGGGTGACCAGACACTTCCGCCAGAGCTGGCCACTTCTGCCTTTGGAAAGTGTTTCACAACGCCTTGGGTGTGTGAATGTGGGAGTGAGAGCCCATGGTGATGTAAGAGGGGGAGCCCAGCCAAGGACGGGTAAGAGGGTGTGGGCCCGCACACTCACTCGCACCAGCGCCCAGACAGGGGCGCAGGCTGAGGAGCTGCCCAGCCCGTCTCTCACACTCAGAGAGTAGCTGAAGCCTGCAACCTCATGACAGGCGAGTACTGGCCTCCAGGTTGGGCTGGAAGGGGAGACTAGGTCTGGGGAAGACTTGAGGAGGCAAAGGAAGTCCCTGGTCCCTCGTGGGAGTCCTGGTCTAGACCACAGTTCTGGACACCGGACACACTGGGCTTGGGTTCTTTGCACCTGTAAGGGCCTGGCTTTCCCTCATCTGATCCCTGTGGAGCCCCTGGAACTTCCTCGGCTGCTAGAGGAGGCAGAGTGTAAGGCCAAGGGGCAGATACAGTAGCCTCAACCCTTCTCAGAGCACAGTGTCTCACATTCTCTGTGGCAGGAGATTTGGATTTGGGGATCTCTGTGCTCACAAGGGAGGAAAGTAATTCTGAAGCCTCCACTTCCCACACATCTTCTGGAACGTTTGGTCTAGGGGTGGAGGTGATGGACCCAGGATGGGGGCCAGGGACCTTAATTTCTCCACTTTGCCATGAGGAGGTGGGAGAGTGTGGAGTGTATGTGGGGGGAAGGGACCAAAAAGAGGCAGGACACTCACCATGCCTCATGGGGCCCCTCACAGGTGACAGCAGCCCCCAAAGGCTGAGCAGGCCCAGCTATGGCTCCATCTCCAGCCCACCTGACCCAAGACCACAGCAAGTGCCTCCCAGAGAGACCTACTTGAGTGAGAAGATCCCCATCCCGGACTCGAAACCGGTGGGAATGCTAGAAACTTCCTGGGGGCTTTCAGCATTGACAGGGTCCTATGGGATCTCACAAGGTGTGGAGTGGGGTCTCCTCGTGACCATAGCAAATTCTTTTCAGCTCTGAGCAGCAGTGACGGACAGTGGCAACTGCCCCCTCTCCTGCTTCTGTCCCCAGCCTTTAGCTTGAGTGCTCAGTATTTGTCTAAAGATTATCAAATGGCTTTCTGAATGAATCTCAGCTTTCCTATGAAGGGCAAGGGGTCTGGGGTGAACTAGGATTAGAGCCTGAGGATTTGTTTTAGCACAAAGGAAAAGGACCGGACAAGGGCATAGGGAGAGGTGAAGGAGGCTGCAGGCTGGTGTCTAGGATGCTGTCCTCCTGCATTTTCGGAATCTTTAGCAGATTCCTAGGCTGACAGGCCAAGCCCTGGAATGGGGAAGAGGACCGCAGCCTCGGTGGAGCCCAGACAGGAGGCCCTGTGGTCTGAGACGGGGGTGGGGAGGGAGGAGCTGGACCAAGGAGGTTTGGCTCTCAGAAAGCCCCCTCTTGCAGCTCTGAGGACATGCTGAGTAAGGCCCTTCAAGAGGCAGGCGAGTCAGGCACAGGCTGGCTGCTGAATGTGACAGATTGTGAAAGTAGATGCTCTGTGACTCAGCAAATCCTGCTGCTTCCTCCACCCCATGCCTTCCCCTCCTCTACACACACACACACAGAGACACACAGACACACACAGGCACACACAGACAAACACACACACACACCCTGCAGCTCCAGGAATGGAGAATGGAGGCTGGCTGATTAGCTCACTTGGTGAGAGCATGGTGCTGATAACACCAAGGTCAAGGGTTTGGATCTCTTTACCTGCCAGCTGCCAAAAAAAAAGAAAAAAAAATGGAATAGAGAATGGAGGGGCAGGGCTGGCCCGGGCTAGCTGCTACCATCCCCTAACCCTCCTCCCACCCCCAGGGCACATTCAGCCTGCGGAAGCTGTGGGCATTCACAGGACCTGGCTTCCTCATGAGCATCGCCTTCCTGGACCCAGGAAACATCGAGTCAGATCTTCAGACTGGTGCCGTGGCTGGATTCAAAGTGACCGAGTGGAGGCCTGAGCAAGGGCCTCAGAGGGGATGGGGTGACCAAGCTAAGTGGGTGGAGAACCAACTTGCCATGTTTCCCAGGGTGGCATGCAAGGAAGCAGGTGTTAAGGCCAGGAAAGTGTCCCCAAGGCAGCCCTGCAGAGTGTGGGGTGTATGTGGGTTGGGGTGGTCTTCTCACTTCATCTCCCCCACCCTCTCCCCAAAGAGTTTCCTTGGTTAGAGGGCACCACCAGCTTGGGGGCTTTCTGAGACTGGCCCCTCTGGCTGAAGGCCTCTCCCTGCCTTTTCACAGCTGCTCTGGGTGCTGCTGTGGGCCACAGTGATGGGATTGCTCTGCCAGCGACTGGCTGCCCGGCTGGGCGTGGTGACAGGCAAGGACCTGGGCGAGGTCTGCCATTTCTACTACCCTAAGGTGAGCTTGGGGGCCTGGACAGGAAGCACCCACAGGTCCCAAGTCCTGAACAGCCTTTTACAGTTCCCATGATCAAATATATGCATCATCTCACCTGGGGAGTCTTAAGTCCACTGGATAGATGAAAAGACTGAGTCTCAAACTAATCGCACACAGCCTGAGAGGGACGTCAGAGACACGTCACTCATTTTACAGGAGGGGAAATGAAAACCTGGGGAAGGGACTCACCCAAGGCAAAATATAGGGCGGCATCAGCTCAGGGATGGTCATTGTCAGGCTGGGGACTCGGCTGTTGTCAGCGTTCAGTCAAGAGAACAGAAATTACACCACTGGATGTTTCAAAGTTACTTAGTGCAGGGATGTAAAGGTGCTGGAAGGGATGTAAAGGTGCTGGAGGAGGTGTTACCCAAAAATCAAAAAGCTGCTACACCCCTGAGCCCAAGAGCCATGGTTTGCTGCTGGACTTCTGGAAGCATTGTCACTGCTGCTGAAGTGGCCATCAGTGCTGCTAGAGCCCAGGTTTCCTGGTGTCCTTGCTGGTGCCGCTGCCAGAAAGCTACCAGAAGCATGGAATGAATCGTTTCTCTCTGCCTTTCAATCACCTATAAGTATTTCCTACAAAACTAATTGGAAGCCAGCTGGCAAGAATGTCTTACAAATGTAATTTGCAGTCTTCCAGCCCAGCAGCACAGTGCAAAGTATGGAAATGTGAGTGTAGGACTGAGACGACAGGCAAATCACTGGCCTACCCTTAATGAGGGGGTTGTCTCCTCCCCATAGGCGCCCCGCACCCTCCTCTGGCTGACCATCGAGCTAGCCATCGTGGGCTCAGACATGCAGGAGGTCATTGGCACGGCCATTGCATTCAACCTGCTCTCGGCTGGACGGTACTGACCCAACGGGTGCAGCTTTTCAGGCCAGGGCTGGCAACAGCTGCTCATTTTCCACAGGCCTTGTAGCTCCCTGAGTCTGTTTTATGCTGCTGTCCCCTCTGACGTAGGGCTGTTGCTCTACTTCATAGAAACGTAGAGAGACTTGTCTAAAGCCACACTGATGTGAGTCATGCAGACTTCAAGACTGCATCCCAAGCTGCCTGGCACGCTTGGTCCCCCAACCAGCTCTGCCCTTCCTAGAGGACCTATGCTATTTTTCCATCTCCAGTACACTCCCACTCCTCTTGCTCTAGCTCTCTGGGGTCCCTTGGGTTCCTGTTCCCTGGAGGCCAGATTCCACAGTCCCCAGCCCTGAAGGTGGGAGCTGCAGACTCCAGGACCAGGCTGGGCTGACCCAGGCCACTCTGGTTTCAGAATCCCGCTCTGGGGTGGTGTCCTCATCACCATCGTGGACACCTTCTTCTTCCTCTTCCTCGATAACTACGGTGGGTGTGCACCTTGGAGCAGAATAAGGGTGGTGAGGGTGCCTACTGAAAGGAGCTCTCAAGCCAGAGCTGCTGGGAGCACATCTGAGCTCCCCACTCTAGCTGCGTGGCATGGAGCAAGTTACTTAGACTTCTGTTTCTTCATCTGTAACTGGAGGAAACGACATCACAGGGCTGCAGGGAGGACTCAGTGAAGTAATTTATGTTAAGCACTTGGCACAGTGCCTGGAACAAAGTGCTGAAAATATTAGCCATTAATGATTGTTTATGCTACAAGTTGTTTTGGTTTGTTTGTTTGTTCTGCCCCTTTGCCCTGCCCCTAGGTTTGAGGAAGCTGGAAGCCTTTTTTGGATTCCTTATTACCATTATGGCCTTGACCTTCGGCTATGAGGTAGGAAGCCAGAGCTGTAATCCCCTCCAAGGTCACTCCTCCTCGCCCCCCGCCCCCTCCGCAAAGCCTGTGGGGTGGGGGAAGGGGCCCTCAGCCCCGCCCCCTAGCTGCTGGGGTCGAGGTGGAGGCTGCGCGGGGGACTGACCAGTCTCCTACCCGCAGTATGTGGTGGCACGTCCTGCACAGGGAGCGCTCCTTCGGGGCCTGTTCCTGCCCTCATGTCCCGGCTGCGGCCAGCCCGAGCTGCTGCAAGCTGTGGGCATTGTTGGCGCCATCATCATGCCCCACAACATCTACCTGCATTCGGCCCTGGTCAAGGTGAGCAGGAGGGTGGGGAGGAAGAGACGCCCCTTCCTTGCAGCCCCGCTGGCCCCGCCTCCAAGCCTGGAGCCCCGCCCCCTAGCTTCTTCCTTCAGGATTTTGGGTGGGAAGTGAATCATTCTCTGTTCATTCAACCTATAAGCTGGAGGTCAATGATGAAAAGATAGAATGGATAAATAAGGCTGGCCAGTTAGCTCAGTTGGTTAGAGGGGGTGTTGTGACATCAAGGTCAAGGGTTTGGATCCCCATATCTGCAGGCTGCCAAAAAAAAAAGATGAAAAGACAGTCAAGGCCCCTGCCCTCCTAGAGCTTACATGCTAGTGGGGGAAGACGATGACTCGGTAAACAGATAAAGGAAAAAATTATGGATTGTGAAAGGTACTCTGAAGGCAACAAAACAGAGAAGTATGATAGAGAATGACTGAAGGATGAGGAGGAAAATTGGGGAGAAGGTATTACAAGCAGAGGGAACAGCACGTGCAAAGGCCCTGAGGCAGAAATAAACTGGACATGTCTGAGGATGGAGCATAGTGAATGAAGGGGAGTCGGACGGGGCTGAGGTAGAGAGCGGCCTCTTCATTCACGTAGTTAGTCACTATGGTTCAGGCCTCTGTGGCAAGGGCAGAGATACAGTAAGGGGGTTGGCTGATCAGGGCCTACCCTAGACTGACACGTAGGACACTTGAGGAGGAACTGGGTTTGGTGAGAACATAGGTAGAAGTGCGAGGGTGGGGGATATTGCAATGGCTCTGAGGGACTTTGGCCCTTCCCTCCCCCTTTGACCTTCACAGTCTCGAGAGATAGACCGGGCCCGCCGGGTGGACATCCGAGAAGCCAACATGTACTTCCTGATTGAGGCCACCATTGCCCTGTCTGTCTCCTTCATCATCAACCTCTTTGTCATGGCTGTCTTTGGGCAGGCCTTCTACCAGCAAACCAACCAGGATGCGGTGAGGCACACCTTCCCATGCACACCTTCCCAGGCCACGCCCCCTACACACATGCCCTGCAAGCTTTGCTGGCGACTGCAGGCAGTGCCGCCAAGCCCTGCTGAGTCTCTGCCCTGGACTCCAGGCACCAGAGTCCTCTCTCCTGATAATCTTCATTGTGGGCAGATAAACTGTCATTCATTCCACAAATAATAATTGAGCATTTGTTATGCACCAAGCAGTGTCCTAGACACTGGGGATACGGCAGTAAATGATATAAAGACCCTGCCCTCTTGCAGCTTCAATAGAGAGGGGGTGAGCAGTTAACAAATAAATACCCAGGTGAAGTACAGAGTGCGAACACTGCTGTGAAAGACAAAAGGGGTTGATAAAGCATAATTGAGAGTATGGTGGGTGGGGGGGAGGGTTGGGGGAGCTGTATTAGCCCGGCCGGTCAGGCTTGCAAGAACTGACATTTGTGGGCTGGCTTGTGGCTCATTCGGGAGAGTGTGGTGCTGATGACACCAAGGCCGTGGGTTTGGATCCCATATAGGGATGGCCGGTTAGTTCACTGGGTGAGTGTGGTGCTGACAACACCAAGTCAAGTGTTAAGATCCCCTTACCGGTCATCATTTAAAAGAAAAGAAAAATAAAAAAAAGAAGTGATATTTGTGCTGACTCTGAAAAGGAAGGATCCGGCCAGCTCCTACCTGGCTCTGAGATTTGGGACCCGTGTCTGTCTTCCTTTTTGAGCAGCTCTGTCACGAGGCTCTAACAACTGCTAGCTAGTGCTGGGTGCTTACTGAATGCTGAGAACTGTGCGGGGGAGAGGGACCAGGCCTCCAGGGATCTAGGCACTGCCACTGCCTTGCTATGTGACCTTGGGAGGTCACACACCTCCCTGGGTCTCGTTCTGTTCCTTGGCACAAGGAGAGATGTCTAAATAAGGATTGCAATCCCTTGTCTTCAAGACCAGGCGGGCTGCGGAACTGTGGGCAGTGGGTCGGTGTAAGGAAAGGGGACGGCGGGGCATCCCGGTCACTGCCGGCCAATTGTCTCTCTGTGGTAATGCCAGCTCTTACAAATCCAAGAGAAGCCGGAAGCCGGGTTCTCATATGAATTCTTCTCGATTTTAAATGTTGGCAACAAATACACATGAAAGAGGGGAAAAAAACCCGACTTCGTTAGCCAAACAAAATATGTCTGGCCAGATTCAGCCTGCGGGCCACCAGTTTTTGACCCCTGGTCAAGGTCTGACCGTCTGATGATCCGACTGAGTGTGCGCTTCACATCTCCCCCCTACTGCCCCGGTGCCTGCAGCTCAACGTCTGTGCCAACAGCAGCCTTCACGACTACGCCGACATCTTCCCCAAGATCTTCTCCAAGAAAAACCAGACCGTGGCGGTGGACATTTACCAAGGAGTAAGCCCGCGGCAGGGGTGGCCGGGGGAGGGGGGATTCAGCGAGGCTCCTCGCCCCGCCCGCCACAGGGGCGGGGCCTGCGGGGAGGGGAGGGGCCACGGGCTGACCACGCCTCGTCCCTCCAGGGCGTGATTCTGGGCTGCCTCTTCGGCCCCGCGGCCCTCTACATCTGGGCCGTGGGTCTCCTGGCAGCGGGGCAGAGCTCCACCATGACGGGCACCTACGCGGGACAGTTCGTGATGGAGGTGGGGCAGGGGCGGGCAGGGAAGGTCTGGGGTCCAAGGACCACCGGCACACTACTTGAGGCCTGTGACACTTGGCCTTGCTGATCCTTAAAGCAGCCCAGAGGGTGCCACTATAAGCCCTACTCTACAGATGAGAAAACAGAGTCAGAGAGGTGAGGTGACTTACTGGAAGCTGCAGACTCAGGACTCAGGACTAACAGGAGCCTTTCTGCAAAAACTGTTTAGTCTTCAGCAACCAGCTATGGAAGGGCCCCCACCCCACCCCACCCTTTTTCTCCCCACCGCATCCCTTCTTTGCCACCTAGGGATAGAGGTGCCCCCAATGCAGCAATGAAAAAACAGAGCATCCCCCGAGGCAGGAGGTGGGCTGAGGGACGACAGAGGATCCCTCCTCTGGAATCCCCAGTCCTGCCACTACCACCACTAAGGTCCTCACACCCCATCCCAGGGCTTCCTGAAGCTGCGGTGGTCACGCTTCGCCCGTGTCCTCCTTACCCGCTCCTGTGCCATCTTGCCCACTGTGCTTGTGGCCATCTTCCGGGATCTGAAGGACCTGTCAGGTCTCAATGACCTGCTCAACGTGCTACAGAGCTTGCTGGTGAGACAGGCGGTCTCTACCACCCCTGCCCTGTGCCAGGCTAAACAGGAACCACAGAAATCCCCCATTTTGAGCCTACCCCGGGTCTGCCAGATTCTATCCTGTTGTATTTTATTTCATTTATTTATTTATTTATTTATTTATTTTGGTGGCTGGCCAGTATGGGGACCTGAACCCATCAGACTCTATCCAAAACGTCCCTTGCCTACAAGGCTCACAGAATCCCCATAGCCACCACAGCGGGTAGGAACCTCCATATCCCTATTTTACAGATGGGAAAATAAATGCACGAATTTAAGGGACTGTAGTGGAAGAGCTGGGGTTCAAACTCAGGCAGCCTGGTGCCAGAACCCCCAAACACTTGCTCCTGCTTTGGAGCCTTGCAACCTGGGAGGGCACAGAGATGGGGAGACTGAGGCTCAAAGTGGTTAGGGCACTTGCCCAAGGGCTCACAGCCACGCAGAGGACTGTGCCAGCCCAATCTTCCTCTCCTTGCTGTGTCTTGAGAGCAAGGTCCCTCAGCCTCCTCCTCCTGCCACTCTCCCCAGCTGCCCTTTGCTGTGCTGCCCATCCTCACGTTCACCAGCATGCCCGCCCTCATGCAAGAGTTTGCCAATGGCCCGTGAGTACTCCCCCTCCCAAGCACTGGACTTGATCTACATTTGATCCTCACCACCACCCGGATGTAGGAACGATCATTATCCCCATTATTTAGATGAAGTATCTGTGGCTCAGAGAGGTTAAGAAACTTATCCAGGGTCACACAGCTACCAAGTAGGGGAACCAGGACTGGAATCCAGGGTTGGAGGCTGTTTCCTGTGCTTCTCACTCTCCCTCAGACTCTGCTCTTGCCAACCCTGCCAGTGTGAAGCCTGGAGGGCCCAGGAGGTGGGAGGTGGATAAAGGGTCTGTCTGCTTCAGGCCCCACAGCCCACAGCCGCTGGTTTTGTGTATCTCCTGTCCCTTACCCCCAACCAGCTCCTGGCTGGCTGTTGGCACTGGAGGAGGAGATGCAGGTGGTTCAGCTGCATCCAGCCAGTCCTGAGCCTCCCTTGTGTCCCCAGGCTGAGCAAGGTCATCACATCCTCCATCATGGCCCTCATCTGCACCATCAACCTCTACTTTGTGGTTAGCTACCTGCCCAGCCTCCCCCACCCTGCCTACTTCGGCCTTGTAGCTCTGCTGGCTGTCGTCTACCTGGGTCTCACTATCTACCTGGTACTGTAGGGCCAAGGGGTGCCTTGGGGATGGGGAGCCAAGGAGAGGAGGCAACAGATGGGGAGATATGGGGTGGGGGACACACTGGGGCTTTCCCCGAGGTCTCAGCCTGTCCCCCACTCATAATCATCCCTCCCCCAGGTCTGGACTTGTTGCATTGCCCACGGAGCTACCTTTCTGGCCCACTGCTCCCACCAACACTTCCTGTATGGGCTCCCTGAAGAGGAGGAGAAGGGGGAGACCTCTGGATGAGCTCCCACCCAAAGCCTGGCTGGCAGATGGACTGAGTGGGGCAGACTGCGCTGCTGGACATGGAGGGGGCGCAGGCAGCAAGACAGAGTGGGAGAGTTTTGGAGGCAGGCCAACTGGGGTCCTTAGGGACCTACTGTTTCCTAGCTTAGACAAGGGATTAGCCTTTGGGTTTCAGTGTCATCATCTGTAAAATAGGGAAGACATCAACCTTGCCATGGATGTAAAGCACTTTAACATAATGCCTGGCATTTGGGACTTAAAAAAAAAACATCCAAAAATATTTATTGAGCACCTACAGGAGTGACCTGACAGATGGGGGGAGAGGGGGAGGAAGGAGAAAACAGGCTCAAACTAGCACCTAAAATACAGTCTGATGAATGCTAAATAAATACTAGTTCACTTCTCATGCAAAAGAGCTGGGAATGGAACCTCGGAAGGACGAAATCTCTAGAGCACCAAGACCACCCTACCCAAATATATCCTACTCTCTGCAGCCTTTCTGTTCTGCCTGCAACCCATTTTCTGGGCAGTAAAACGGAGGCGAGTTTCTCTCTCCTTCAGGCGCCAGGTCTTGAAGAATCCAAGAGTCCAAGCCTCGGAGGCCCAATTCATTCGCCATCTCCCCAGGGGACCAGGGGACCAGGCGGCCCCGACTCCCAAGCCGTGCTGTTAAAGCGCCTTCTGCGCTGACTCCCAGCTCCCCCTAGGGGCAGGGACGGTCTCGGGCGCTAACACTCCCATCTCAACCTTACCCCTCCCGGCCAAGCGGAACGACGCGGGGAGGTCTTGCGCCCTGGGGCCCCGGAATCCGCTCGGGCGAGAAGGTGGGGGTAGCTATATGGGCGGGGAACCCCCCCTCTGGCGCAGGGAGCGGCGGGGCACCCCTTCGCCCCGTGCATGGGCTGCACTTTATGGACGCTCCCTAGGCTGTTTCTAGGCTCCCCCAAGTCCCTCCTCCAGCAGCCGCCAGTCTCTCAGACCCCAGTCCAGGGGCTGGGGACAGCCGTAGCTAGGAGGGACCGCTTGGCCTTTCCCCCAAGTTGATCCTGGTACGGGTGCTGCGCCTGGAAATACCCCCGATTTCCCGGGGACCCGGCGGGGCAGGCGGCCCAGTTCCACACTCAGGTTGGGGCGCTTGTTTATGAAAAGAATTTCCTCTTTCTTAAAAGGGCAATGATGCGGGTGGGGCCCGCAAGGAAAGAAGGAACAGGACAGGTCTAGCACAACCAGGGCAGCTGCTGGAGGGGGTACCTAGGCAAGAGGGCCTCCCCCCCCCTTCTCCAGGCTTGTCCCTGGAGAAGATGGGGCCCATGCGAGCTGAAGGAGGGGGTGGGTGGGGGGGTGAAGAAAGGCATTTCCCAGATCCTTCTCTAACTTCCCGGAAGTGCCCCCAGCTGTACCCCCTGCACACCCCAGTGGAAAATTCGCTTGGTATTGATTGGGTGCCAGTCCTATGCTGGGACATGGGGTGGGTGGGGTGGGGGGAGAAGAGACAAACTCCTGAATTAAAAAAAATGTCAGCACTCAAGGTGCTCACACTGCAGTGGGGGGAGACAGCTAAGTAAGTAGCGACAAGTGACTCCGCAGCAGCGTGAGGTGACGGGCCAGGGCCAGAGAAAGTGACTCCTGCATAAGGTGTTAGGATGTTGAAAGCTGGAGGGGAGGTGCGCCAGGAATGAGGGTCTGGTGTGTGCATTAGTGCGGAGACATGAAACCTCTGGGTGTCCCTAGATCTTGTGGAGCAGGACTGCGGGGGGGCCCAGAGGGACGGGCAGGCTGGTTATATGAATAGTTAAGCCTAAGAGGGCCAGCTAAAGGGTGAGTGATGAGGTTAGGTCAAGGTCAGTCACCTGGGGACAGGGAGGCCCCTACTTGGGCCTGCCCCCGCCCCCATAGTAGCTTTGGTCCTCCTAGCCCAGGCTAAGATCTAACTGGGGATGACCGGTTTCCCTTCCCGCTGCTCCATCGGGCCCCTTAGGGTGGGAGTGGCCGCACCTGGACAATGCCCCGGAGCCCGCTGAGGGCACCCTGTCTTTCAGCCCTCTCCCCCCCCCCCCCCCGGCCGGCTCTTTCCAAACCCCATTTGGCAGATGGGGAAGCTGACGTGCTGGATGGAGAAGACACTTTTTCACAGTTGCCAGATAGGACCCCGATGAGTCCCGCCCTCCCCACCCCCCGTTTCCGACTCGCGGCCCCATGACTTTGTTGTTCCTGAGGATGCAAACCGACAAAGCAGATAAAAATAATGTGGGTAAAGTGACCCCAGCTGCTGGAGCAGAGGAGGATGGCAGCTGGGTGCGCACGTCCTCCCCAGCGACCCCCCTCCCCGGCGTGAGGAGACAGAACTCTAGAAAGCTCCGGAAGGGAGTTGCGCCTGCCTCGCTGCCTGGGAGCGTGGGAGGGGGAGGTCCCCGGGGAAGACACCCCACCAGAAAGGCTTGGGGGCAATAGGGTGTGTGTTGGGATCGGGATCCCCGAGGAATCCTGTGGACTCAGGATACCGTTTGGGAATGGCAGGTGGGGGACAGCGTCCCAGCCCTGTCTGGTGCCTTGTCCCTGCGTCAGCTCCTGTGACCGTTACGGGGACAGCCGGCCAGGTTCCAGCCCCCTTCTAGAGGGAGAAGCGGAGGGAGAAGACAAGCCACGCTACCCAGGCCAGCGTCCACTCAGTCCCTCGCCACACACTTCCTTTTGGGGTCAGCGTGGGCCCGGCATCCGGAGATAAAGCTGAGACCCCACCCTGGGGCGGGACGGAAGGGGGACGCTCCGCTCTGGGGCCGGAATCTCGCCTCTGCCCTTGCTGGAGGACCTGGGCACATCATTTCGCTTCTCGGAGCTCAGTGTCCTTATCTGTCAAAAGGGATGAGAAGGGGGTCGTTCTGAGGAATAGGGGGATTAGGGGGCGCAGCCAGAGCGGGACCCAGACGAAGCGCTGGCAACACGTTGACGATTGAGACGAAGTGCAGTGATGGAGGCCCTGAGGGCGCCCTAGGAGCGGGAGGAGGGTCGTGGGGTCCAGCCCGGGGGGGCTCGGTCCCTGACACACACGCCCCGCCCCCCGCCGCAGGGCACGCCCTGGCCCACGTCCAGGAGACGCCCCGCCCTGGGCCCCCAGCCCTCCCTGGCCCCGCCCCAGCCTGCCCCGCCCCCTGGCCCCTCCCCAGCCCG